CACTGACACATGGTCCTGAGGCCCGGAGCCTGTGGACAGGAATTGGGATTGTGCTTTAGAACCTTACTTAGGTTTTCGTGTACGACTAATGATGTCAGAGGTGACGTCACCGGCATCTTTATTCTGCTAGGACTAATAGGGTTGTATATGGATAGTTCACGTGAAACCAACAATTGGGAATTGTCTTCCCAAGGTGAGGCAACTGTCAGTCAAGGACCTACGATGGCATTGATACAAGAGGGAGTCACTTTGCTCCTGGTTTGAGGCTGTCTCCTTGGTAGGACTTGAAGATGCTGTTCTTAAAACATTCAGAAATCTTGCCAGAGACCACCTTTATAAACATTTAAAACATATTTTAGCTTAAAGTCGTGGTTGAGGGAAATTAATATTTTAAACTCCAAATCTGCCCTGACTCTTCTGAAACCCAAGCGAGCTACCAACAGATTGAGCTAACTCTGCTTACCCATGAGGCGTGCGAGTCCTGAATTTCTAATATTGAAAAGCTATAGTCTGTCACGTAAACCCAAGGTACTGACAGGTTAATTCTGAAAAATCATTTCTACACAAAGACATGCAATATAACAGGCCATAGAAAACAAGACAATTTTGGTCAGTCATAAGTGAATTTTATAACTCCATTAAAGATTATGTGGTATGATCAGCTAAGGATTTTCTCAGTTGCTTAAAATATTCTATTTGTTATCACAAGTGTTGATTATTCTGACGCTCACCTTATGCAAAATTCTTTAAACTACATATTTGAATTGTGTCATGTTCTATATTTATGGGGTTTAAAATAGTACAAACATATTAGCAATAGACAAAGAGTTCAAGTATCTGAAATACAGGTTAACCAACAGTTGGTACAATGCCAAGATTTTTCACCACATATATACCCAAATATTAAGAAATAGATGATTTTTTTAAAAAGGGCTATACTATAGCCCTTAGAGATTGTTGAAGAACAGTATTTCTTAAAAAAAAAAAAAGACACTAAGTCACATGTAAAAATCATCTTTCTTTTTAAATCTCTACATGAACCATCAAATAATAATGAATAGTGAATATTATACACAGAAAACATTTGTTTATTACTAGAATATTTTTCTATTTAAATCATGATCAACAAATGAGCATCTTTTTGCACTGTTATTTTAAATTTTGCTTTTATTGCTCAATTTCTTCATTAAACCCATCTGTGACTAGTTAGTAAGGTGATTTTTAAAGAAGTGGAAAGACATCAGGATGTTTGTTCTGTTGCCCCAAGCCTTTATTGTTATGATGAATCACATTCATAAAGACAGCATAACCTTATAAAGGAATGCCATAAAAAGAAAATTCCTCCATATAAAATGATCTACTAAATTCTCATGATAACTTCATTATAGTAGTGGCCCAGCATTAACATTAACGTTGAAAATATATTGTATACAACTTACTATTAAGAAGAAATCATTTAATAGGTTAGTATTCTACTACACAATCTTGGCCTTTTATAGGTCACCGGGATGACTTTTCAAGGTTTACAAAACCTCAAAAGTTTGGGATTGGAATCTGCTACTGATTTAATAAATCGTTGGGGGCATGCACACACACACACACACACACACACAAATCAGAAAGGAAGAATACTTTCTTTTCTCATTCGGAGAATAATAAGATACCACTTATTTCTGCATAATAATTCTAATTACATCCAGAATGTACAATGCAATATCAAGTGTTCCCAGATTAATGCAAAAATGGGTTGAAATTAAAAAGACAGTACACAGTTCTCTAACATTAGCACCAACGTTAGCTGAAGTTTGCGAAACTGACAAGAGCAAATGCCAATCAAATAAATAACCTGTATTTAGATAACCCAGGTAATAGTCCGGTGGGGAGTTTCTGAAAAAGAAATTATTATTTCAATGCCAAGTCACGCTTACAGCTTTGAACAAGTAGCAGAACATGGGCATGTTTCTCAAATGGATTTCACAGCATCAGTGCAAAAGCCGGAGGGGATGGCTTAGTTTTTTAAGCCTCAGATTTGAAATACCTAGACTCCCCGCAACTACAGCGTTAAATCCTCTGTGGAACCGTAGCTTCAAATGCTATCAGGAGAGACTCAACTCTTCATCCTTCTGAGACTGATAAATTGAAAGGCATGAAGTTTAGAGGAAATGGAGGGGAGCCTGCAGCCTCCTGCACCCCCTCCCTCCCTTCCCCCAATACAGCAAGACTCTATTTGTAACATCCTTTAAGGTTTCGTTTGAGGCTGTCTCCTTGGTAAGACTTGAAGATGCTGTTTTTAAAACATTCAGAAATCTTGCCAGAGACCATCTTTATAAACATTTAAACCATATTTTAGCTTAAAATTGCGGCTGAGGGAAAACAATATTTTAAACTCCCATGTAGTCCAGTCAAGGAAATTCTAAGTGCTTACTTTAAAATGCATTATAGTTATCTGGTCAATTCTTTCTGTCCCTGTGGAAATTTCTGAAATTCAAATTGATTTCTTTTTCCTACTTTGTATGTTTCTGGACTTCCTCCTTTCTGATATCAGTTGATGGATGCTTGGTAGTAGTCAATGAAACAATAGAATTGTTTTTAATTTGTTCAGTATTCTACTATTCTTTTGCATCTCCTACTTCCTTCACAAAACTTTTTAAGATAGGGAAGAACACTATTTATTCCTGTATTTTGCAGATGAGGCAAATGTGGTTTTGGAAGATTATTTGCATTAACCACAGCTGATAATTCCAAAGTCCCTAGAATTTTAAATCCAGTTCTTTAGAATCATCCTGAAGGACTGCTAGTTATAAGTCAGTCCTGTTTAGGAGCATAAACATGTTGCCAGAGAATATGATGTAATGCATTCTAATTTTCAATAAAAGCAATTTATAACTAATCTTGATTCATCAGTAATGCTACATAGGCTACATATTTCTGCTGTTATGTATAATGAATGATTTAGAAAATGAAGAATCAAAGAGGCTGATGGGAAAGCTGTGGGAAACTTTTTTTTTTAAGGCTTACTACCTGACTTTAAAAGATACGCCATTTCACTTAGACTTACCTGAAAATAAAACATAGGCTGCTGTTATATATAGACTCCAATAAAAAACTAAGTGAGAGTAACATGAGGTCACTGCCTATTAAAACTCAACACTCTCCTTCAAGTGTTATTCTAAGAAAAAATGAGCCTGAAGCAACGCACATATCCAGGTTAAGGGAACATGTTTTAAACTTTGGTGTAGGGACAGCTTTAAATATAAATAACTCAATAGCAAACACACTGGCTCATTCAATAGATGCCCCAAAAGCACCAAATAAGATTTCTATGAGATGGAATGTTCATTATTTTATATACACTTTCAGGCAGGATGAGCACTAAGACTTTTGCTCAGACACTGCACCATCATATATTTAGATGTTTTTCTCCAGCCAACAGATGAGGTGAATTTCTCTGGTGGATATTTTGATATCAGGTTGGAAGAGGAATTTGGGAGATAAGAATGGACTTAAAAAGAAACAAAGTTCAGGCTCTTTAGCCAGAGGAAACAAACACCCTAAGAACTAAGAAACAACCACAGAGAGCAAGGGGCGCTGAGACCTGCTTTTTATATATTGTGTGTGCTTGGTTTTGCTAAAGGCATGTCTTGACTGTTTAGGTTGTTGCAAAAAATACCAAGGCTGAGTTCAGGCGCTAAAGAAAATCAATTCAGAAGACAATGTATGTTTACCCGGCTTTCTTACCCTGCCTCACCCCTCTTTTAAATTTCATCTGGTATTAGCTTAACCTGATTATGCCAGTACAGATGACTTGCTTTCCTCTGAAATCCCATAGTAGAAATTTACAACATTTCCCTTTAATTACACCTACCTTTTAAATAGCACTTCCCTGCCTTGGGGTAATTCTTCTAGACCATCTTATGCTGATTAAATAATGTATTTAATGTCATGGCCAGAAGAACATCACAATGCCTACCAAGTTAATATTTTTAAAAATCTGGATAGATTTACAGATGACCTTAATAATTATTTGACTCTATGTCTTCCTTTGACAACACTGGCAGGCATTCCAGAGCTCTTTAGGGATTACTGCTTGCCCATATGCCCAGACCATCCAACTATGGAAATGAACAGACTCTATCATGCATAGAAAGTCTCCATTTCACATTTTCTCAGACATTTATGCACTTAATGGTGCTTAGCACAAGGTAAAACACTCAGAAAGGAGAGGAGGTAGCGTTCTTGCCCCAGGGGGGAGGAAGGTGCACTTCTGGGAATTGCATAGCCCTTTTATTTCTGCTACCCCAGCGCATCCCCTTTTCCTCCAGCTCAGGGGGTGATTGGGAAGAGGACGTCCTACAAAAAGCTGTGGTGTAAAACCTAAATGAATCAGGTTGTGAGTCCGCTCCCTCCACCCTGGAGGTCCTGAATAACCCCCAGATTGCTGAAGCCAGGAATCCCAGACAGCACAGTTTGGCCAATTTTTCAAGTGCAACTTTTCCCACTTCGGTCTGGTTCACTAAGCTACGATGCAGAGCACTGAAAAAAATGAACGTCAACTTGTAACTAAACTGCAAGTAAGTTAAAACCATAGTTGACAGCAGTCACGGAACACCCCGGGATCGTGCAATCCAGGGCTGTATGATTTCCTAATTGTCTA